CAAGAATCCGCCTGGAGGGTGTGTGAGCATGTGTGCATGTGTGTGTGAGCATGTGTGAGCATGTGTGCATATGCGTGTGTGTGGACCAAGGCCAGCTGACCGAGGGAGGAGTGAGGGACAGCGGTTATTAGAGAACTAAGGGGTGGGGGTGGGGGCAGTCCCAGGAGTGTGACGAGGGGAGTGGGCCAGGGCAGGGCAGGCCCCTTACTGAGTAGATGGCTTTCATGACGCGGGTGGCTGTGGAGACGCTGGCAGTGTCGTCCTCGCGGTCAGAGTGCATGGTGAGAGGCTCACGGTTCACTGTCTCCACCTTGATGTCCAGTTTCCTTAGGGTCACGTCCTTGCGACCTGGGACAGGGAGACGGCCTGGACGCTCGCTGCCAGCCTCGCAGGGGTGATTTCTGGGCCCACCTTGACTGGGAAGTGCAACTGCCACACCCCGGGCCCCTCCCAGCGAGGCCCTGCCTCTGGAGGCCTGGGGTGGGCGGGGAGGGCCGGGCCCACGGGCCATACTCACTGCCTTTGCGACGCCGGTAGAGGAAGAACACCAAGGCCACGAAGGAGAAGGTGAGCAGGATGCCCGCACCGATGGTGGCTCCGGCGATGATGCCCACAGGCAGCACCTCTTCAGATGAGAAAGGAAAGGAGCGGGTAAGGACGGAGCCTGACCTCCCTGGGGCTCTGAGCTCAGTGCTGACTGAGGACCAGGCTGGCCACAGCCGCAGGCTCCCCGGGATTGTGCTCGGGTTGCCTTATGTAAAGGTGGGATTTTAGAGGAAGGCCTGCATTGTGTTTGGGTTTGGGCCAGAGCTTAAGCTTAAGCAGAGTGGAGGGCATGGTGATACCTTATCCTAGCTTCTGGGGCATCCCCTCCACCCTGGCCTGGGTGGTCTGTCTGTCCCTCTCCTGTCCCACCTTCCTATGAGCCTTGGTCTCTCCCTGCTGGCTGGGCTGTTTGAGGTCAGCTGTCTCCAAACTCTCCCACCTGCCACGTGTGCTCTGACCTCCTTCACCACCTCAGCATCGGGAAGGCCCCCTCTGCGCCCACCCACCAGACCTCCAACAGCCCACCTTGGTTCCCTGCCCCCCAGAGCTGAGAAGCACCTGGGACTCCGATTCCAGCTTTCTCTCCCCTCCCGGAAGTCCTGGGTGGGTCAAGGCCCCTCCCCACAGAGCCTGGGCTGCTGTGCTCTGCCTTACTCTCCACTCTCTCCCTCCACCACCTCCTTGCTGGCACCCTCAGCTGAGAACTGATGGATCCCGTTATTCCCATCTCCCATGTCAAATGGCTAGTTATGTATGTGTGTGTGTGTGTGTGTGTATACACTGAGTGGCCAGATTATTAAGACCACCCCATCAGTACTTCGTTGGGCCACCTTTTGCCTTCAATACTGTGGCGATTCTTCTTGGCATTGACTCCACGAGATGTTGAAAGGTGATGCGAGGAATCTGACACCATGCCTGATGAATAGCACTGTCCAGTTCTGTGAGATGTGATGGTTGTGGAACCAGCTGCCTGATGGCTCTTTTAACTTCGTCCCACAAATGCTCAATTGGATGGAGATCTGGTGATTGTGGGGGCCACCTAAGCAAGGTAAAGTCTCCCACATGTTCTTGAAACCACTCCTGCACAATATGAGCGCCGTGGCATGGCGCCTTGTCTTGTTGGAAGAAGCCATCTCCATTGGGATACGCCATCGACATGGTAGGATGAACTTGATCAGCAACGATACTTAGGTATGTTGTGCTATTCAGACGTTTATAATGATCTGGCCCTCTAGCAACTTCAGCAGGAAATTATAGCTAATTTGCCTACAAACGTCAGGTGGTCATACTAATCTGGCCACTCAGTGTGAGTGTGTATATATATATATATGCCTTTCTCCCTCTTCAGACATAAAAACTTCCCAAAAAGTCAAAGGTAATGCCTGTTGTTGTTGTTATACTAGAAGTGCCTCGGGGAGGGAACGTGTCTCCGATCAGACTAAGGATCCTTGAGGAGGTGGGGAACCGGACTCCCTGGGCACCTGTCCTATGCCAGGCATTTTATACATACTGCCTCATGTAATCCTCACACCAACCCAGTGAGGTAGGCTATACTTGACATTCCTCCAGCTGAAGTCATTTGCTGCCACTGCGTAAGTTCCTGAGGGCAGGGACCACGTGCACATTGGTCCCTGCAGCCCTAGCCCGGGGCCTGGCATAACAGATGCACAGCACACGTTTCAGAAAGTAAGTGGCTTTCCCCTGCTGAGCAATAGGCCAGGTTCCAGTGGGGAGGCCCCCGCCAGTGACCTCCCTCTGAGCCCCGCCCCGGGAGAGAGGAGGGAGCGGGACCCCAGGCTGTCCTGCGCCCCGGCCACCAGCCAGCACCGCGGTCACCTCGCTCCTCCAGCTGGATGATGGCGGTGCCCGGCCCGAAGCTGTTCCAGGCAGTGCAGTTGTAGTGGGTCTGGAAGTCGGCCTCCATGACGTTGTTGATGGTGAGTGTGGACAGCACCCCGCTGCCGGAGTTGGTCCTCTCCACCGTGTAGCGTTCCAGGGTCCCCACCTCCAGGAAGTTCTCCTTCCAGGCCCACGCCTGTGGGGAGGGCAGGGGGTCAGAGAGGGGCAGGAGGTCGGAACACCTCACCCTTCCTCAAGGCGCGTGCCCTGTGTGCCTCTCAGCCCAGCCCAACACACCCTGCAACAAGCCTAAGTCACTGACACCCACTGCCTCAGACCTTGGCATTGAACCTCCAGCCCAGTGGCTCCCACACATGACTGAGACATTCAGACAAATCTAGGGACGTTCTTTAAAATGCCCATTCCTGGGACTTATCTCCTAAATAGGAACCTCTTTTCTTTTTTTTCTTTTTTTTATCCTCACCCAGGAATATGTTTATTGATTTTTAGAGAGGGAGGGAGAGAGAAACATTGGTGTGAGAGAGAAACTTCGATCGGCTGCCTCCCATATGTGTCCCTACCAGGGATCCAACCCGTAAACTCTTGGTGTGCGGGCCAACGCTCCACCCAACGGAGCCACCCAGCAAGGGCGGAATCGGTGTTTTTATAAGGATCCCATGCGATGTATGTGACGTGGGTGCACCATTTGGGGACCCCTGATGTTGTAGAAAAAGCCCTGGGTCGGGGAGTCAAGAACACGGTGCTCCTTTCAAGTCCCCGTGTGGCCTCCCTTCCCTCTCCGCTGTTTCCTCACCTGTGAGTGAGAGGACCAGACTGGACAACAAGGTTTCTCCCACATAAGCCGGTCCTTCAATCGTACCCTAACCCAGAGCCAGCCCCAGACGCTCATAAAGAGCTCTCACAGGAGAGGGGTCCCAGGCTCCTTCACCCCTGGGCTCCCGGAGGGCAGTCCCCGTGTGTCCCCTCCCCCCGAGGGGAGCGTGAGGGGTGGTGCTGGCTGAGAACTGGCTCCGGTCCAGGATCAGCTGTCCCCGCTCGGAAGCAAAGCCCCCGGGAGCGGGGCCACTCCTGGTTCGGCAGCCGTGGTAATGAAGTGTCCCTGGGCAGCCCTGCAGGCAGCCAAATGGTTATTAAATGTGATGAGGGGTTTGACGGTTAATGGCCACGGAAGAAATTAATGGCTCATGGTGTGGGGAAGAGGAGAGAGGAGGGGGATGGTGCGGGAGCCGGTGGAGAGGAAGGAGAAGGGAGGGGAGTGGCTGTGGGACAGGGTGGGAAGGAGAACTGCTGGGCAGGGCTGAGGGGAGAGGCAGAGGAGGGAGCAAGGAAAGATCAGGAGGAAAGGAAGGAGATGAGGGAGGAGAGCAAGAGTGGCTCAGTGGTTCAGCATCGACTTATGAACCAGAAGGTTATAGGTTCGATTCCCAGTCAGGGCACATGCCGGTTGCGGGCTCGATCCCTAGTGTGGGGTAGACAGGAGGCAACCAATCAACGATTCTCTCTCATCATTGATGTTTCTATCTCCTTCTCCCTTTCTTAAATCAATTTTAAAAAATAAAGAAAAGAGTGGTGCCTGGGGAACTGACAGTGAACCTCGCCAAGGCCTCCCCTGGCCTTCCACCCCAGCTGTCCTGCTGTCCTCTTACTTGTCACGCGCCCCATGTTAGGGTGATACTGAGGTTCAAACACTAAGCAATTTGCTCAGGGTCACACAAGTCAGAGAGGTGGTGGGACAGAGCAAGGAAAGGGACAGAGGGACTTAAAGTTGGAGGATCAGAAGTAGAGAGAAGTAGGAGCAGAGACAGAGCGGGAGGAGACCGAGCCGGAACAGAGAGCAGGTGCTGACTGCCCCACGCCCCGTGCGTCCCAGCACTCACAATGCGGTCTGGGGGAGGTGTGCTCCCGATGAAACACTCCACCTTGCCGCCGTCTCCCCTGACAGCGTACTGCACCGCCTCGCTGGAGATAATGGGGGGCCCTGCAAGCAGAAGACGCAGTCAGGGTCGGCTGGAGTCAGGGTCGGCTGGAACCCGCAGCACCTGCCCCCCGGGCCCAGTCCCTCGCGGGCCACTCACCGTTCACGTAGAGCGGCACCTCCCGCTCGGCCACTCCGATGCGGGGCACGATGGCCCGGCAGGTGTAGGTGCCGGCGTCCGCCTGGGTCACCGACTTCAGCAGCAGCTGGTTGCTGTTACTCAGCACCTGTGCAGAGAGAGCAGCCTCGGGTGGGGAGCCAGGAGGCCTGGGCCCCTAGGTCCGGGGGGCCCCGCATTGGATGTATCGGAGAGAAAGCAGGAAGGGCCACAGTGAGTTCCCAGAAGGGAAGCAGGGTCAGGAGTCTGTCTGGTCCCTCCCCCGGCTCGAAACAGGTTGGCATTTAAACACACCAGCGCTGCACGGGCGGACAGAGGAGGTGGGCCAGAGGGCGATGAGGTCACAGGATGCGTCTCTCCGATGATCTGCTCTAGTGACAACTTCACCCTGAAGTCCCTCTTCTGCCCCAACTGCTCAATGCCGGTCTCTGGAGGGCTGTGAACTCAGCCTTTCCCTCTCTGGTGACCTCTCCAGTCCCCCACCTTGGATGCAGCCTTCACCACATCCTTTGCCAGCCCAGCGCCTCCCCTCAGGCCCTCCCCCTCCTCCCACACACGCCAGCAGGCCCCTGAACCGGACAGTTGTTCTAGGAGGAGGGGTGGGGTTGAGCGCAAGCACTGTCCTTGTCCTCTAAGTCCCAAGACCTTAGAAATAGCCCAAGTTCAACTTGAAAACGGATGCTGCCCTCCCTAGAGAGCTCTTCCCTCCCAGCACCCGGGAGAGGCAGCAAGGGGCTTACCATGTTGGAGTCCTTTTTGGTCCAGGTGAGGGTGAGGGGGGGATTCCCAACCCAGACACAGGTGAGCGTCACATCAGAGCCAATGTCTGTAGTCGTAGGTTTAGGGTCAACCACAATCCGGGGGGCGACTGAGGTAGAGGGCAGCAGGTCGTCAGGGTCTCGGTGCCATGGGGTCAGCTCCAATCAGCCTCCTCCTCTTTCTCCTGTCCTGCTACCCCCCCCCCCCCCCCGCGTTTCTTCCCTGTCTCCTCAGCCTCATAGAGCCTCCCCACCCCACCCAGGCCCTTTATAGGCCCCTCCCTCCGCCCCAGGTCCCACCCCGGCCCTCTGCCCCCGCCCCTGCAGGTGCAGCTACTCACAGTGGACATTCACCAACGTGCTGACATTGGTGCTGCCCACTTTGTTGTAAACCTCACAGGACACAGGCTCCGTGAAGAAGGAATAGTCAACATTTGTCTCATAGTGACTCTCATGGGCATCCTCAATGGAGAAGCCGCCCTTGGCCCATCTGGGGGAAGAGGCAACACGGGGGGGGGCGGTGGAAGTGGGGTTAGGGCTTGGAGCCTCTCACCACCCCCAGGGCACTGCCCTCCCCAGAGTGCCCCACGCCCTGCTCCTCACACCTGTAGCCCAGGATCTCAGGGTTGGCTGTGGCCTGGCACGTAAAGACAACACGCTCGCCCTCCTGTACCGTCTGTGGCTCGATGGACAGGGTCACGGTGGGAGGGTCTGCAAAGCAGGGGACAGGAAGTCAGGGTCTTTTCTGTGCCGCAGGTTTCCTTTTCTCTCCCTGGCACATCCACTCGGGCACCCTGTGCAGATCTGGGAGTCTGCGTGTGCAGTGTGCCAGCTCCAATAAATAAACCTGTCTTCTCCATCTTCACCCACATCCCTCATGGACTCTGGGGGGCCATCTAGAGTGATGATCAAGGATGATACCAAAGGGACAGATCAGTCAATGGGTGTAAAGGCCAGTGGTGGCCACTAGATGTCAGTGTGGGCTCCCCTGGCTCATTAAAAGGGCTGGGGGCGGGGCATTTCTCCAACTGCTGCCCAGATCCAACCCTACCCAGGGCAGAGGTCATTTATGGAGCACATACCAGCTGGCGGACTCCATGCTAGAAGCTCTGACACTCTATCTCATTTAATGCTCACCACCCTGAGAAGCAGGTACAGGCCCACGTTCCTTATCTGAAACCACTGAAACCATGTGTTTCAGAATTTGGAATTTTTCAAATCTTAGAAAGGAAATAGTGTGCCTGGACTGTTTACCATGCAAGACCTCCAGCAGGGTCCGGGCCACACCCATGGCCACATACAGTAATCCCTCTGCAGCGAAACCTATGACTATTCAGATTAAGACTACGAAAAGCCTCAGTTCAGGTTTTGCCACCAAATCTCTGTTATTTTGGAATTTTGGATAAGGGATTGTAGGCCTGCATTTTATTTCCTGCAGGTATACAGAATTGGAAACTGAGGCGCAGAGATTAAATCATTGCCCAAAGCCACACTCTGGTTTAGACCCGGGAAGGGCTTGACTCATCGCTGATGCCTCTTCACCAGTCCTCAGCGCCCCGGGGTCAAACCAGGGAACCCTCACAGATGCAGACAGTGAGCCTGTCCTGGGCCCCTGGAGGATTCTGCTGACTTCTCCGCGGTGCCCACATCTCCCCGCGCCCCCCTCCCCGGGTCCCCCCAGCTCACGGTGCACATCAAGCTCAATGGAGGTCTCCCTGCCACTGGGGGCGGCCTCGTTCATGCTGCGGCAGGTGAAGACGCGCCCGATGTCCAGGTCTGTGGGGTTGATGAGCAGCAGGCTGACGGTGGTCTCCCTCTTCCCGTCCTTCAGCAGCTCCTGGGGTGGGACCAGGCGGAAGGCAGGGTCAGCCTAAGGGCCCCTCCCTGCTCTCAGGGTGGCGGACTCCGAGCCGGACTCCGCTGGAGGGCGCTTTAACCTAAAGCTCAGCCCCGTCCCCAGACTCAACCTCTCCTTGGGTTTTGTTTTGTTTTAATTAGGAGATTTTATTTTTCAGAAAAGTTTTAAGTTTAAAAGAGAAAAATTGAAAGAGAATGCCCATGTTCCCCCTTCCCTCACCCCCCAGTTTCCCTGTCATTAACATGACCCATTAGTGTGATCTGTGTGTTACAACCAATACTGACACGTTACTGCTAACTCCCGTCCATAGTTTACATCAGAGCTCATTCTGTGGGCTGCCAACTTTGCCTCATGGTGTTGGTTGAGCCTGATTCCTGGGATTCTCTGAGTCCAGCTCAAGTCCCTCCTCTTCTGCTAAGTCTTCCTGGGCCACCTCAGGCCCCGGGACTCTCCCAGCCTGAACCTGTGCCCCTCGCAGGCAGTCTGTCCTCACGATGCTCTGGCTGGTTCTGCCCTGCCCTGAGGCACTGGGCCTGGGTTTTTCTGAGTTGGGTCTCTCCTGCTGGTCCGTAAACTCCTCGAGGGCAGGGAATGAGCTCACAGGCCCTAAGTCTCATACCTCTCATACCGACTCTGTGGCTCAAAGGAGCCCTGGGGCTGTTCTCCTACTGCAGGCTGCCCGAGGCATGCCAAGCTATGAGCCAAAGTTACACACATCTCCCCTGGGTGCAGACCGTGGCTCCCTGTGCTGCCTGGCAGGCCAGGGCTTTAATGAATGTAAAAGAGGGGGGGGGGACGACAAGTGCCACTAACAAACCAGCTTGTTTGGTTGCCAAAATATTTCAAAACATGTAGCGCTGAAGGAGAAAAGGAACAGAGTCCTTGGTGGTGAAAGAGTCAAGCACCACGGAGGCCAAATTCTCGTTGGTCAAATGGTGAAGCTGAGGCCAAGGAGAAGTGAGCTGTCCAAGGCGTCAAGGGCGGAGCTAACCCAGCTCCCCCTGGGGCGGTCCTCACAGGCCCACAGGTGAGCATCTCTCTCCCACCAGGGGAGGTGTCTGTGCAGCTCCTAGCCAAGGGCTGGGTACACATGTCTGCCCGCAGCTGGCAGAGGAGCTCGGAACAGGAGATCCCCCTGAACTCTGCCAGGTGATCCTGGGCAGGTCGCCTGCTGCCTTTCTCTGCCACAGGCTCATCTATGAAATGGACTCAGCGATCCCTGCCTCCTCGGCCTCTGAGCCAACTAGAGGAGGGGAAGGAGGTCAAGGGACAGGGTGGGCAGAGCGCAGTCTGACCTAGGTACAAACCCAGCTCTGCCGCATGCCAGCTGTGTGACCTGGGGCAAGTCTCTCAGCCTCTCTGACCATCAGCTTCCTTGCTGTGAGTTGGAAATAACACTAACTCAGGAAACGCCTGGGAGGGTCAGAATCACGGTCCACAGAGAGCTTCGCGCCCACAGCGCCTGACACAGTGGGTGTTCCTAACGTGGCTGTTCTGACTGCCGTTCTTGGTCTCTGCTCAGGACCGAATGGCATCATGAACCTGGAAATTCATTTCTCTGCTCTGGGCCTCTTTTTCCCAATCATATAACAAGACGGTTGGTCCAGATGACCTTTAAGGCCCCTTCTCGATCTGCATCCGAGTCAGACTCAGGGAGGAAGGAAAGATGACCTGGGATGAGGCCCAGGAGGGGGTGGGGAGCATGCGGGGTCTCACCGTGCTGGCCACAGCGCCCTCCTGCTGCGTCCCATCCCGGAACCAGATGATGGTCGCCGCAGGCTTGGCGTTAAAGGCTCGGCATGTGAGGTTGTAGGGGATGCCTGCTTGCAGCAGCAGTACGGGGCCTCCATCGATCTTGGTGTCCTCAGGGGGGACTGTGGGAGAGAGCAGAGCAATCGGTCCAGGGCCCAGCCCTGCCCTGATGGCCGAACCCCTGCCCTGGAGGCATCCCTCTCCTGGTATGTCCACCCTGGGGGAGGCAGTGCCACCCGCACCCCCTAAACGGAAGTCACTACATCTGTGCTTTCGTGTGGCTTCACCCAAGGCCCTCCGCTCGCAGCTTCCTGCACTCCTGCAGCCTTTCTTTTACAGCCTGGACCGTGTTCTGATACCATATCCCGCCATTCTCAAGGCTACAGACAGATGAGGGGAGTGGCCTCAAATTAGGAAAGGGCGGGGCTAGCTCAGGGTTTGAGTACAGCTCCTGGAGGGGGAGGGAGGGCAGTGGTCTTGCACAGAAAGGACAGAAAGGTGCTACGTCCACAGTTTCTTCCGTCCATTCCCTGCTCTCTGCTCCTCTGCCCTGGGGCAGCAGAGGAGCGAGTCTGCTACAGCAGGTCCCCAGTGGCTCTGACTCCCATCCCTGCTGGCCCCGACCCGTCCATCACAGCCGGCAGGTTCCTCTCTCCTCAGCGCAGCTAAGGCCGGGCCCCTCCCTCGCTCACACACCTTCAGTGGCGACCATCCACTGTGGGCAAGAGGTCCCAGCACCTCAGCCTGCTGCTCAGGGCTCCTCCTGCACTTGCTCACATCCTCGTCTTTGCTTTTGCCCCTTTCCTCACAGCTTCTGTTGAAGTGCTACCCAACCTATTTGCATCCTTCTTGCTGCATAAGGCCTTCCCTGCCATGTCCCCCCACTCCCGCCCCCAACACCACCTCGGTGGTCATGGCCAGTCACACAGAGCTCCTCCCACCGTGCACCTGTGTTTAAGTCACTGATGCTGATTACCCCCACCCCCACCCACCAGAATCATTATTCCTGGGAAAGCAGAGACCGGCCTCACTGATATTTACAGTCTCCAGTGCTCAGCGCGTGGCTGAAGCAGGCTCTCGCTAAGTGCTTCAGAAATTGAGATGCAGGAAATCAGGGACCCCCTCCTGGTCCTGTCCCCATGGTCCTCTACCTGCTCAGGTGAACCGGACCACGAGCGCCCTGAGGGCAGGGACTGCTGCCTCTTTTATCTTAAAGCTCCAGTGTCCAGCCCAGAGCTGGGTGGTGAGCAGGTGCTCGGGGCTATTCCCTGCATCACTGAGCACGAGATTGATGAGAGACAGGCGGACACATTCTGATATAATCCTCTGGTCCACCTGCTGTTCACTGGGCCAGAAATGCAAAGGGTTTTGCTGGTTGTTTGCTGGGAAAGACTCAGAGGGGCTGAGGCAGTGGTCGGCAAACCGCGGCTCTTTGGCCCCTTGAGTCGGCTCTTCCACGAAGTACCGACTTCTGCGCATGGGCCACGAAGTTTCAATCGCACTGTATGTGCGCGCCCGCACGTGGTATTTTGTGGAAGAGCCACACTCAAGGGGCCAAAGAGCCGCATGTGGCTCACGAGCCGCAGTTTGCCAACCACGGGGCTGAGGGAACCCCGCCGAGCGGCCCTGGGAGGCCCATGGAGCCAGTGGTGGGCAGGGCGTCCTGAAGTCTAGGAAACGGTGGTCTCCCGGCTGCGGTTCCAGCAGAAAGGAGTCTGTCCCAGAGTCCTGCTCCGCTCACGCGTGCGGAGTGGCAGAGGGAAAGCATGAAGTGGAGAGCCAGCTGCCCTGGTTCTAAGCCCTGGCACCTCTATGTACTTGCTTATGATCTCAGGTGAGTCCCTCAAGACACTGAGCCTTCATTTCTTCAACACAGACATGACATGCCTGCCTCTGGGGCCGCATGAAGGTCAGGCGGGGCACTGGGTATGGGCTGGGATGTGCAGGGCCCGAGACGTGGGGAAAGTGTGAGTTTTATGGACTAGCGAATCACCCATTGAATGCCTGGCTTCTCCTCTTTGCTCTCTGGTATACCCCGGTCCAGCGCCAGATGGGTGCAGGTTTGGAAATGGTGGAAGAAGAGCAAAGTGGGAAGACGGATAAAGAGCCGCCACTCAGGGTCTCCTGCTCCGCCCGGGCCCCTCCCAGGTCACGAACGCCTGGCATCACGTCCAGGAGGGAGGGCCTGGCTGATCACAGGCCCTGTGCCCAGGGTGAGGGACGGGAGGTGAGGGACACTCCAGACACAGGAGTCCTCCTGCGAGCAGCCTTCTCTTCCCCTCTCGCCCTTCCCCTGCACCCGTGGCCCTTTCGCAAAGACCGTCTACTCATCTCCTGTCACTTGCCCACCTTTCTCTTCGAATCTGGGGCAAAGAAACATAGGTTGTTAAAGTATCTGATCAGCCATAGGTGAGACAGCACATGTCTGTTTCTGAACCCATTTTTATGATTCGTGACAAATTTGCATATCAATATGTATCTATCGGTAGCCTCCGTTTCCGGGTTTGTATAATTGAAAAAAGAACATTGAGCCCTGGCTGGTGTGGCTCAGATGGCTGAGCATTGCCCTGGGCACCAAAGGGGTCGCAGGTTCGAGTCTGGTCAGGGCACCAAAAACAAAAGAACATTGACACCTATTCCCTAGGGCTGTTAGCATGAAGGGAAAATGAGGTCTGAGGTCAAGAATATGCAGGCCCCTGTGAACTCTAGTGTCATCTACACTGAATGCTCATCAGGTGTCCAAGTGCCCTGTGCATATGATGTCACTGAATCCTCACCACCACACGTAGGTCATTGCTCCTTTCATGGTAAATGCCATGACTCCCAA